GTTATTATTCATACTTCTAAAGCTTAAGGGAACAAATTTGTTCTTAGGTGGCTATGGTGGTTCCAGCAGCAGCAGTAGCTATGGCAGTGGCAGAAGGTTTTGATTACTGCCAGGTAAGTGAACAGCTTTTTTTGTTTTCACTTAATTTTCTTGTAATTGATAATGAACACAGTAACCCTAATGTAGCTGAGCAGTGAAACATAGTTAACATTATAATTACAGTAAAATTGTGGATATTAAGTTAATGTTCAGATCAGCAAAATTTGTGGGAAACAACTTGCTATTGGATTGTAGCCTTGAGTCTTAATATGTTTAGATTAACAACTTTATTCCATATTGTTCAACAGGAAACAAAGCTTAGCAGGAGAGGAGAGCCAGAGAAGTGACAGGGAAGCTACAGGTTACAAAAGATTTGTGAACTCAGCCAAGCACAGTTGTGGCAGGGCCTAGCTGCTACAAAGAACACGTTTTAGACAATACTCATGTGTATGGGCAAAAAAACTCAAGGACTGTAATTGTGACTAACTGTATAACAGGTTATTTTAGTTTCTGCTCTGTGGAAAGTATAAAGCATTCCAACAAAGGGTTTTAATGTAGATTTTTTTTTTTTTTTTGCACCCATGCTGTTGATTGCTAAATGTAATAGTCTGATCGTGACGCTGAATAAATGTGTCTTTTTTTTAAATGTGCTGTGTAAAGTTAGTCTACTCTGAAGCCATTTTGGTAAACTACCCCAACAGTGTGAAGTTAGTATTCCTTCAGGGTGATGCCAGGTTCCATTCAAAATTTATTTACAACCTGCTTTGGTGGAGAAGCTACTGTCTTCCGAAACCTTGGTGTAGTTGAACTGACAGTTACTGCGTTGTGACCTTGGAGTTCACCGTGAAAAAGGGTCACCCAAGCCAAGTCATGGAGTTTTTTGATTATTAATATGATTGTTGGCATATTCTATGCAATATATCTAAATTGGATTATGGTACCAGATATAGATGGGAATGAAGCTTGTGTATCATCCATTATCATGTGTAATAAATAAACAATTTAATACCCTCTTGAATGGAATGACAACTGTATGGATTTGGGACTGGCAGAGCTTTGGACCTTCCCTACCCACTACCCCTGATAATGTTGAATGCTTCTATCACAACTCAAGTTCAAAACTCTGCCAGAGAATAGAAACCAGATGCTGGCTAATGCCACCCCATAAATCCACAAATTAGAAGTTTTGGGGAGATCTTTTTAAACTGACCAGTACCAGTAAGGAATTTACTCTTAACACGAAAACAGGTTTACATTAAAGGAAAACTGCAGTTTTCGTTCCGGTTGGGTGGGTATATGTAGGTTTATGGATTGGCACACTAGTAATTATCTATAGAGATAAAAATTGGTTATGGTGAGGAGCCATGTTATTTAATTCATGCTAACTGCAGTTTTCCTTTAAATACGGCACAAGATGACACGAACATTCTAAAATGTTGATTGTATAGAAAATGACTTCTAAACCTTTATAACAGTTTACTTAATATCCAATCATTGTTATTTGTACATAGCTTCCTTTGAGCCCTCCCTTTGGTACCCTCAATTTCAGTGCCATTGTACTTAGTAGAATAGAGATTTGTTTATCACTAGGACTGTGTATTCCATCCCATGGGTGTGTTACTTGGAAGTTTGGGGAGGGGGTTGGGTGGGGTTGGGTGGGAGGTGGAGGTGGGTGGGAAAGCGTGGGTAATAGTTCCATGGGCTTGATACTGGCTGAGTTTGCAATGGCAGGTGGAACCTTAACTATTGAGGGAGTTTGCAGATACCTCAGGATTCGTGACAATGCCTTTAAAGATCCAGGAGAGATGTTCAGCTACTAGGAACTGCTAGCAAGTATAGCGCGAATGGCTCCGAGGTCAGACACTCTACAGCTGAGAGTAGACACTTGTGGTATGTGGAGTACAGATAAGCCAGGGGCAGGCCACGGCACGCTCCATGAAAGCTAGGAGGGAGTGAAGTTTCAGTGACCATCGCAAGGAAGGAGGCAGACAAGAGTAAGGCACACCTGACTCTTAGGACTAGCAGTCAGAACCAGGAGAAAAGGTTTTATTGCTATGCTGGTAGGTAAGAACAGATTTTACTTACATCCATATAGCTCTCTAAAATCCAGCTTTCTCTTATTTTCTTTAATATATTGAGCCAAAACTAGTCCAGTTAAGCTGAACTTGGTTTTTCTGAAAATGAATTGCTTAAGTTGACACTCTACTCTTGGTGGCTCCCAACTGAAGGAAGTGAGCACTTTAATTACTTCTACAGTGATACATTTTTACCCTTTAATTTCTATATTTCCTATCTTTTGACCTATTAACTTAAAACAATGGCTCAAAGTAATGTATTAGAATCTTCCCCAGAATGCTGGTGGGAGGGTGGGCGGACCATTAGTGGGGGGTGGGAGGGTTTAGCCTGAGATGGAACTTGTCTCCGAGAAAAGCTAGTTCTTAAAGGCTGTTTACTTTTCTAGGGAGGAGTGTGCTACTACAGGCTTAGCAACTCTTAAACAAAATTCCAGTTCAAGCTCATGGCTAAAAGGTAGGTTTTTATAAAGTAACAGTGCTTAGTATTCCTAAAATAAAATGCCAGGCTGTGCCTCAACTAAAAAAAGTAAGATCTATTGTGCTATTATCTAACAGACTGTAGCCAGCAAAAAGCTATTAAAGCAATTGGATTCTCAGTAAAGAGAATGGATGTAATTGTACAGTCTTTCACCTGCTTATGTATATGCTTTTTTCTTTTTTGCAGGACCATCCTTATGAGGACCTTTATTTGAGCCACTGTGCACTTCATTTTCACTGCCATGCAGTAGTCATTAGCTGCTGCGCAGCTTGAATTAATCATTCAATTTTGTGAATGGACTTTTTAAAAATAAAATGCATTTAACTTGGTTTTGGTTCTTGTTTTCTATGTCTTCATGATGTTTATGGCAAATAACTTGAGATAGTGCCTGTTCTTTACTAGATCAAGTTTGAGAACGGGAAATGCAGGAGTTAATGGTAAACCAGAAGAATTTTACCCTCATTGCTTACCAGTGTTTTTCTGTGTAGTCACTGTAAGCTGTTTAAAGAAAACTGCATTATAAATGTTTTAAGCATAGCCGCGTGTTAATTCCGATGGAGGAAGCACTGGGTTTGTTGCAAGTGATTCTAATACTATGTATTACTATTTTTTAAAGCTTGTCCTATCAGCATCCATGGTTTAGTGAAATCAGAAACTGGTTTAATTTAACTGCAGGAGTGAATCTTGACCCAGAAGTGAGCTAGCTGTTCGCTACTGTTCCTCTTGAACAGGTCTTTTTTGTAGGTCTCCTGGCAAGGGAAAGTCGAGTTGTAGTAAAGGCCGGCAGATGCTGTTGAGGTTGAGTCTCTTCTGGAACTGTGCTTATCTGTTCAGTTCCTGAGGGGCATAATGGATCCCATCTTGGGTGAATAAACATTTAATTGGTCAGCTATTTCAGGCTTCAGAAATATTGAGCCAAGGCTAAGAAAGTAAAGGAAGTCCATACAACAATGGTTTGGAGGGATAGAACAACTGAGACTACCAGTTTGCTAAAAAGTAAATTCCCTATTTTTTAAATGAGGAAATAACCTGTAGGAAGATAATTACCTTCTTCCAATTCTTGTGACCACCCTTCCATCTTTGGCCTTAGGTACTGTTAAATATGTGTATCTGAGGGTCTTGCCTGCTATGGTATACTCCATGAGAAGTGTCTCCTGTTCACTATCTCCAATGCCTAGAACGATACCTAAGCTTATTGGGTGCCTAGTAAATATTGGTTGAGTGAATGAATGAATGTTTAAATTTGCCTCTGAGTTAACTATCTTTGTGAGTTTGGTTAGAATGAAAAACTTCCTTCTGATATCCTTTAAGCACACTAATCAAATTGAACAGCTAATCTCATTACTTGACAACTAATCTCATTACGACTTGATCCCACATGTTCAGGTTTTTGGAAAGTTGACAGGTTGGACTGTCTTCAGATCTATTAGGAAGCTTTCATTCCCTAGAGACTATTTTTCTGAATCTGTAGGCATGAAGATTCCACTTTGATCACTTCTGTCTGCTTTTTTGTCTCAACTGTAATGAATATCAGAACTTGGAAGTAAGGTTTCTCTATTGAAATGGAGCTAGTAAAATTGAAAGAAGTGTAAAGAAGCAAAATATGCCAGAGGTAATTCATATGCTTTAGTGATTGGGAAGAGTGGAAACCACAATTCCAAGCAAGGAGATGAAGGTGTGTGGAGGAGCTTTGACTGGACTTTGATCCATGTGGCTAAGAATTCTGAAACTTAGTCGTGTTCGAAGAAAAAATATATTAATAAAAGGCCCTAGATCTTCAAGGATCTACAAAGGGGGGCAGAGGCACCAAAACAAGAATTGGGTAACATCTGTCTAATGTAACCAGGGAGATGGAAGATTTCACTGAAATGCATACTGTGCTCCACTGTAGAGAAGACTTGGTACCCAGACCTGGTCGTGAAATCCCCTGAAACTTGGGTGTCCAATCATTCTCTCATTCCAATCAAGAGCAGTTCACTCAGTCTTCTGAGAGAGCTCTGGCATATCAGGGCCCAGGCTGAGGGAGTCCCTTAGAAGTAGGCATGAGGAGGGGAAAACGGCCTGTGGGCGTTCTAGGATTTACAGTGCCCCAAAGTTTGAAAAAGGAGTGGCCTAACAGGGACCTCACAGAGGGTCTAGCCGGCTCTGGCAACAATCCCAGCTCTATAAATAGGGGGCCATCTGAGAAGGTGTGGTTCCTCAAATCATCCATGGCCCCTGGCTCTGAGAAAGGGAGTGAAGGTGGTAGGTAGCACACTGCTCAGGCCCAAGCGTCATGTGTCCACACGTCCTCATACAGAGCCGTAGGGGAAAGAAGCAAGCTCAGCAGAACTACCTGCCACCAACAGGCAGTGAGCTCTGAGGGGCACCCCCTTCACCCTCCCTCGAGAAGGAAGACACAGCGGAAAGCTATTTCTGTAGAGTGCTTTATATACCAAAGCTCAGACGAGATTGGAGACCTGGGAAACTGAATCACGGAAGAGAGATTCCAGCCCTCCCCTCACGTCCTTGCCTCCAGGCAAGCCTCACTGAACACGCCTTGGACCTTCCAAATGCCAGGTTTCCCACTGTGGTCCCTCCTGGTCTACAGAACTCAGCTCCTTCTGGGCCTCACGGTTGGGGAGCACCTTTATCAGAAGAGAATGAAGGAAACCTCCATCACCAGCCCCAACCCTCCGGCCAGCTCAATCTGTGGCCTCCATCTTGGTCCCCCGGGGCACCAGGAAGATGGCCCCATCAGCAGCCTGGTGCAATGCATACTCTTCAGGGGAGTAGCTGTTGCCTGCCTCATCCCGCAGGTGCTGGAAAATGTCACGATACAGCTCCGTCAGCTGTTGGCGCATGACCTCCAGGGTCCGGTCGGCCTCACCTCGGGCCCGGAGGAGGCGCTCCCGCTCACTGCCCAGCCGCTCCAGTTCCCGCTCCAGCTGCACGATGGTCTCCAGCTTTCTCTTGCGACAGTTCTGGGCAGCCACCTTGTTCTTGCCCCGCCTTCGGATGTCCCGGACTAGTGCCAGCTGGCTCTCCGTCAGCGGGTACCGTGCCAACAGCTCGTTGAAGTCATCTACTGGCAAGTTGACGATCTTGTCCGTAGGGAAGGGGATCTTCATGGCCAGGGCTCGACGCTCATCCCGACTCCCCGCCTCCCCCCGTGCAGTGGGCTTGGCCCGCACGGGGCCCGAGGAGGAGGGCTCTAAGGCTAAGGGGGTCTCGGCAGGTGGCAAGGCATAGTTGGGGTGGGCCAAGGAGTTGGGCATTAGTGAGTAGGGGTACTCCACTGGGTACATCTCTACATACTCGCTGCGACGCCGACCAGCTTCCGTCCCCTCCAGCTCAAGAGATTCAGCGTCACTATAGTTGAGGGATAATCCTGAGTCGGATTCTGGGTCTTCTTGGGGCTTGGGTGGCCCCGCTGACAACCCAATGTCCAGGATAGCCAAGGGGTCTGGGAGGGGCTCACTGAGCAGGCCCGAGAGGGTCAGCGGCTTGGAGGCTGGTAAGGTCATGTTACTATAGGCGTATGGGGGGTCTGGGACATGAGATGTGGGTGCTGGGAGCTCATAAGGTGGTGAAGAAAGGGGAAAGCCAGCCTCCGGGTGGATTGAACAGGGGCAGTAACTTGGAGGCGGCGGGGGCCCAGGGTATGGGGCTGGGGGCTCGAAGGATGGCTCACTTGGAACATTTAGGCCCTGCAAGAAAAGACACCAAAAGGTTTGGAGACAGGCTGAGGAAGAGAAGAAACCAGCTCTCTCTCAGAACCAAGCTGGGTCCAGCTGAAAGACCCAGTGAGATAATCACAAGAGAAGAGAACGGTGCTGAGTATCATTGAAAGCTTCTGGCAAAGTTGTGATACAGTTTGTTCACGAGGAAAGCGGCTTAAACAAGAAGGGACGTCACGCAACAATTATGGAATCCCCTCTTCAGGAGAAGTTCTTACTGTACTGAAATGGCTCATGTCCCTTTATTTCCTTCAGGAAGACAAGGAGTGTCTCCAGGATGACCCTCGGAACCCTTTTCCTGCTGCCACTATCTAGGGTCAAAGGGTCAAGTTCAGACCCTGGCTATGCCCTGGGTGCCCAGCAGAGGGAGCTGCTGTGTGGGAAGAGGGCTTAGGGCAGATCCTGAGGGCCCAGACATGGTGGCAGGGAAGAGAAGGGGGTGGGCACAGAGCCAGGTCTGGGGCTGAGAGTTACCTTGGGGAGCGGGCACAAGCTCTGCCCTCTCCCCTTCAGTCCCTCTGTCCATGCCCAGGTGCAAAGAGGAGGATAGAACGTGCTGGAAGAGGGCCCCCAACCCACATCGGGGAGCCACCCTGCTCCAGCCCAGCTGGGGACAAAGGCATCATTGTTAGGCCAACAGACACCCCTTTGTCCAACTAGCAGGAGGAGAGGACCCCGGCATAGTCTGACCCCCCTTCCCAAGGTCAGAACTACAGCTCTGCTACCTGAGGGAAAGGGGCCCCCCGACCCCGGCTGCTGAGGGCAGGGGGAGGAAATGAGGGAAGAAGATGGGCAGGATTGGAGGAGGTCAGAACAGAAGAACGTGAGGAAGGGAAGGCGGGACAGGAGGTGGGGCAGAGAGACGTAAGCAGAGTGACTGCCAAGAGAGCTTACACCCCCAATCAGATCCTTCCTTCCCCACCACTCCTATCTCCTGCTCATCCACACTCCCTCCCCCTCAATGCTCTGATCTTCCATCCAGATCGCCCTCTGACTCCAGCCCTTCCTTTCAGAGTGCCTGGAACATTTCCATCTTGAGACCCTGGGCTCTGCTTGCTCCAGCCCCCGGCCTCAGTCCCAGCCAGACTCCCTGTTTCTCTGCTTTTCCCTCCCCCCACCCCTGCCCCCTAACCCCACTCACCTGCAGCTCAGTGATGGACATGATCTCTTGCCAAGTCAATTCCATCTCACCCAGCTCCAGAGTGGGCAACTGTGTCACCCTGTTCCTGCTCTGCTGGGGAGGACACGGGGGCATCCTACTGGGCCAGGGCCTGGTCCGAGGTCCCGAAAGCCCAAATGGTCCCAGCAATCTGTCAAAGGAGAAACAGGAGTGAGGGCCTCTCTTGCCACAGGTCAGCAATTTTGTCCTCCTCCATGGAGAGGCTCCCTCCAGCTTCACCTCAGGGAAGGAGATGCCTCATTCCCCGCCCTACCCCACCCCCATTCATGCTGTACTCATCGTCGGACAAACTCCTTAAGCTAGAGAGCCTTTTTCTGCCGTGTTGTCTCTATCTCACCTGCTATGGCTGTAGGCAGTTCCTTTGGGAGCACAGTAGGTTTTTATCTTCTTTTCAGACAAGATGCCTTCACTTTCCCCTACTTCTTACTCCTCAAAACTGTATCACTGGCCAGGACAAAAGTCACATCATCCAGTGTTTCTTATTTTTCCTGTTTCCTGCAGCAACATTGGGGATCACTCCTGCTCTCCTCCTCTGCCCTTACTTTTAGGATCTCAGTCTTTTCTTTCCAAGATGAGAGCGAGTGCTTGGGGATCCCCAAGGAGTGTGTTGTGGGAAGAGCCAAGCAGACAGCCCCTCCCCTTCTCTAAGATATGGCCCAGGCCTGGTGACTGATAGCAGCCCTGCCCTCTCCTCCTATCCCGGCCCTGGGCTCCCCTGCCTGGGCCAGATAAGAGGTTTATCAGCAGCAGGCAGCAGAGGAGGAATGGTCCCTGGAGACACTGGACCTCTGCCCTGTGTCCCATAGGGTCATCTTGGCTATACCCCACTCCACACAACCAGGGGTCTTTTCTCTCCTGAGGTCACATAATAACCACAGCAAAGACTTATTTGGCATTTGTCGAGAACCGAGCTGGTGGTTTATAAGCACTCGTTTATGAGATTGATTTCCACAAAGATCCTGTAAGTTCCATTCAGAAGTTGAGGCTCAAGCTGATAAATAGCAGAGTCAGGTCTGGTACCTAGAGTTGCCGACTCTGCTAGCCTATCCCACCTTCCAGGCGCCTTCCCAATCCTGCTCCCATGTCTCCTCCATACGCCGAGACTCTATTGGCGGTCGACATCAATCAACTCTTTCTGTGGAATCTCAGACTCTTTTTTTTTTTTTTAATTTATTTTTGGCTGCACTGGGTCTTCGTTGCTGCGCACGGGCTTCCTTTAGTTGTAGTGAGCGGGGCCTACTCTTCGTTGGCAGTGCACGGGCTTCTCACTGCAGTGGCTTCTCTTGTTGCGGAGCATGGGCTCTAGGCGCACGGGCTTCAGTAGTTGTGGCTCAAGGGCTTAGGTGCTCCGCAGCATGTGGGATCTTCCCTGATCAGGGCTCGAGCCCACGTCCCCCGCATTGGCAGGTGGATTCTTAGCCACTGCGCCACCAGGGAAGTCCTGAATCTCAGTCCCTTTTGTCTTCTAAGGAATATTTCTTTAGAGGCTTGAATACACACTTCCCTCCAGCCCCTTTTCTTTGGATCTGGGCTCTAGCTGCAGCTCTGCCACAGAGCAGCAGCATGATGTTGGGCAAGCCATCACATTTCTCTGAGCCTCTGTTTCCTCATTTGTAAAACCAGGGAGTGACCACCCCACCTTCATCTTCTCCTCTCTGTCAACCTCTCTCTTCATCCCACCTCCCTATTCCCTGACACCCATCTCACCCTCATCTGTTCTCCCTGCCTTCGACAAGGGACTTCAAGTAGATGTGACAGGGACCTCCTGATCTCTTAGGGCCAGACACCACACCCTACCTTTGCCATGTAAGTGAAGGCAGGCAGGCTGGGTGGGTGAGGGAGACTTATAGAAGGACAGAGCATAGGACTGGATGACCTTAGATCACCACAAGGTTGGCCTATCACAGCTATTTAATATGGGATCCACTCTTTGACTCAACACAAAATTGGTGAGAACTTTAAATTGTCCTTTCGAAGGAGGATCTCCCCTAGCCCTGCCCCCTAACCCTAACCCTAACCCTAACCCTAACCCTTACCTGAAGCCTTACACTAACACGTGCCCTAATCCTAACCCGTACACTAACACTAACCCGTGCCCTAACACATACGCTAACCCTAACCCGTTGTCGTACACAGACCTGTACCCTAAACCGTCCCCGTTCCCTAACCCTAACCTTAACCCTAACCTTTGTTATATTGCCATCCCCAGAGCTGGGAGTTGGTATAGGCACAGGCCCTTGACAAGTGGGCAGAGGGTGGGGTGTTTATGTCTGTCCAGGATGCCATTTCAACACCGGAACCCCACCTTCCCCCACCCAGGTTCTGGCGGAAATTGCCCAAAGGCAAAGTGAATGGAGAAGGGGTTTGGGGGCAGGGACGATGACTCTTGCCTCACAGTCCTTACACACACACACACACACACACACACACACACACACACACACATCCCATTTTGTCCCTCATAGTTTCCCGGATCTGACTCAGGTGCAGTACAAAGATCCTGCCCTAGGAGGCAGGAGACCAGGTTCTCTGGCCTTCCAGATGCATGATCTGGGGCAAATCGCTCCTTATTCAGACTCTCCTATTAAATGCGGACGGACTTGCAGAACCTCCTTGCATCTGGCTCAGGCAGTCACAAATTTTACTGTGGCCTGCATTCACCTGGGGTGCTTGTGAAAATACAGAATTCTGAAAGCCACCCTGGACCTATCGAATTGAATTCATAGGTGCAGGTACCCAGCAATCAGCATTTTAACAAGTGGCCTGGTGTTTTTGATGCCAGAGGCCCACCCTACTTTGAAAACTACTAAACTGGTCCAACCATATGGACTTAAAAGAATGCAAAGCCAGAAGAGCACCTGGCGAGTAATCTGCAGACTTCTCCTAGCTTCACACCCTTGACCCAGGCAAGGCTGGGTTCTAGGCTGCCCTAGTCTCTGAGACTAGATATCAGCCCCTCCTCATAAAGACCAGGAATTTAATCTTCCCCTCACCCTGGGACAGGGAAATGAGAATCCAGAAGGGCTGCTGGGGGAGGCGGGCGGTTAGGAAAGAGGCAGTTAAGGAGAGCCTCAGGATCGAATCCAACCAGCTCTCTGGTGCAGTGGCAAGTTTGCACCAGGCCAAAAAGGCGTAGTCTGTTTTTCCCTAGACACTCAGAGATGGGTGGTTGTCTATACAACAGGCAAGGTCAAGAAGTCTACCTTCGGCTTCCCTGGTGGCGCAGTGGTTGAGAGTCCGCCTGCCGATGCAGAGGACACTGGTTCGTGCCCCGGTCCGGGAAGATCCCACATGCCACGGAGCAACTAGGCCCGTGAGCCATGGCCGCTGAGCCTGCGCGTCCGGAGCCTGTGCTCCGCAATGGGAGAGGCCACAACAGTCAGAGGCCAGCGTACCGCAAAAAAAAAGAAGTCTACCTTCAACAGGTCTTAGGAGTCTCCCTTCCTGAAGACGGGCCAGGGGGCTGACAGCCAGAGGTATAGCTCAGGAAGGAGGGTATAGTCAGAATTGGATCAAAGAGAACATCACAGAGGGTACAGAAGCTGGAGAGATACTGGGAAAGTGGAACATGCCTCCCTGTGTCCCTTTTCTTTTACAGCAGACGGTTTCCACTTTCCAGTTTAGCCCACACTTTGAGGTCACACAGGCATCTTGCTCCCCAACATTGCACATCAGGTAGGACGGACACCATCTCAAGAGACTATAACCCACCCTCTTTACTCTCATCCTGATGGGATTACCCGGAAAGATCTTATCACAATCCCTGAGTACACACAGAATGACATGGAGCTTTATGCTTCAGGATACAGAATGAGGGCCATTTGGGGAGGGATGCTGGGGAAAGGAAGATATTTGGCCTCATCAGCAGCCCAGGGCTCTAACACCTTGACAAGGGGGAGAGACAGAGAAAGGGCTCGCCTCTGGGACGCTGTTGTTGTTGTTTGTCTGGGACCGTGTATTGAGGCTTACTAGACAACCCCTCCTCTCCAGGTGTCAATAGAGGCAGGGAAAGGATGGGGAGGGATCAATAAAACTTGGGGTGTGGTATGGCAGGTGAGCAGCCTATTTAGAAAGAGTAGGAAGAATCCCCAAGGAGGGAGGGAGAGGCGAGCAGAAGTGGGAGAAAGAAATAGCCTGGAGGGAAAAGGGGCTGGGGGGAGAGGTGGGGAGGGAGAGTGAGCGGGGTGGGGGGTGGCAGTTTTGATCACAGTAAGATTCAGTCTCCTGGGGTCATACATGACTCAAACAGGTGCACGGAACAAGGGAGAGAGGGACAAGTTTCTGCCATCCTGTCACTTGTTCCCTAGACCCCCAACTCCAGTCCTTCGGGGGCCAGTGACTAGAGAATCTCAGCCCCAGCAGATGTGATACCTGACCTCTTCTCTTCCACTGTTTCCCAGCCCTCTACCTCCCAAGCTGCCAAGATTTCCAGTCAGAAGAAACTATGCTGGGGTGGGATGCCTTCCTCTCCCTTCCAGTTCCAGCTACTGCCCTAGGCCCAGAGAAGAGAACGGGCAAAGGGAGGCAAGAACTCAGCACCCTCTACCCCTAGCAGCCCATCCTGCTGCAACGACACTTCCCAGCAATCCAGGCATCCACTGTCTCGGATTCCTCAGCTTTCCCCAAACCTCCCAGATGGCTGGACAGGGCAGTGGGATAGAATGGAGTAGGGGAAAGGATGGTACCATACACCTGAGAGTCTATTGGCTGCCCCAGGGCAGCCAGCCTGCTGAAGGGTTACTCAGTGTCACTCCCCAGCCCCTCAGGCGTGCCTCAGGGGACCACTGTCTGGTCCCTATCCATAGCCTTTCACCCCAAGAATCCCAGAGGGCTCAAAAAGCCGTCTAGGTCTTCTCCCAGAGAAATTCCCAAAGATGTCAAATTCCTAAACCAGGGGCAGCCTGGAAAGGTCTGAGATCTCCGAGGAATGCACGGCAAGTTGCTTATTTTCTCCCGCTGCCTCCTTCACCTCCCCAGCTTGCCCCTGGGTCCCCCTGGAATCCTCCTCCCACCCTGCCCCTCAGGCACCTGTGGCAGGGTCCAAGCAGGGTGAGGAGAGAGATGTGGCTCCGGGTGCTGTCTCTGGGGAGGCTGGGCCTGGGCTGACACCTTCTGGGTGAGGATCCCTGCTACCTCTGAGAACTGGGGAGGGCCATGCCCTGCCCCCAGGCCATCGCTGAGCGCCCAGTGTGTAGGCTCGTGCCCGAGGGAGGGGACCTCAGGGGCCGGCACACCAGCCTCCTCTCTGAAGCCCTCAGCCTGAGTTCTCCGTCCTTCCTCCAACCCTCCCCTTTCCCCGTGGCCCTCCTCTGCTCCTGCCCCTTCTGGCCAAGAGAGGAAACTTGAGCCCGGTGTGGTTTCTGCCCGCACCCCACCCCCACCTTGCTCCCAGCCAGCGGGGGCACACATGGCTCCAAGCCTCTCCCAGCCCTCCTTTTGAGCCCAGGAGTCCAGCCAGCTCTGCGTTTCTCCCATGCATCTGATGGATTCCAACCTGATGATCCGTGGCAGAGTGACCTCTAGACTTTATACAAGTTGTAACCTCCTTCCCTTTGCCCCCTTGACT